ATTTTTTAAACCGAACGGCAGACGGCAAAATTCGTATTTGCCTCTGTTTACAGAGAACGATGTTTTTTCGCGGTCATGTTCCGCAAAGTAAATTTGGTGGTACCCTGACTTCAGGTCGAGGGTGGAAAAAATTTTGCAATGCCAAGGTTCGCTAGAATCATAGGAATGCTGGGCAGTGGGTAACGGTCTGGGATGGATCGTTCGTTCAGTTTCCTGAAATCGATGACCAACCTTTTATTTTGGTTACCATAAGCGTCTGTGCCTTTTGTATCAACAACCCAAGTCGGGCTGTTGTAGGGGGACCTTGAGGGCCTGATAATGCCGTCTTTCAGCATTTGTTTGATTTCGTTGTTTACAAAGTCTGAGACACCCATAGGGTTTGGGTAGCGTCTGGAGTACACCGGCTCTTTGTCTACTGTACGAATCGTAGCAGTGACAGCGGTGTTGAAGGGTAGGGCTTCGTTAGCTGTTGAAAAAGCTTTTTTTCTCGTAATGATCATGTTCCTAAATTCCTTTTTAATGGAGTCAGGAACTATGATGTCATTGACATTGGTGAAATTAACATCGGCACAGTTGTAGTACTGAAGTTTTTCAGCTGGTGCCCTGGTATTCTAGAGTGTTCTCTGCTAGATTTAGCTTAACTCCGGCCTGTGCTAACAAGTCGAAGCCTATAATAGCGTCAAACGAGCTGAGAGTGTCTAGTAGAAAAAATGGGGAAGTGTGCCTGAAAATGTTCATCAGGCACTTTTGCTTAATCTGGGTGGAACCGTGTATGGAGTTCACCGAAAATGTTTTGGCGACCGGCATTATGGTCTTTAGCTCCTTTACAGGCTTGACATAATTTTTCGCCGCGCCTTTGTCGATTAGCATTTTTTATGTTCTCCCAGCCAACCGTCGTTCGATGAACGGCAACCGGGATTGCTCCCTAAAAAATGAATTGAGTCTTCACTCGGGGCGTACTTTCCGCCGCTTTCGCCGCCTTTTCGACCTCTGCCTTGAGTTCTTTGGACTCCTCTTGGACAGCGTTATTAACACGTTGTCGTCTCTGTCGAACGGTCTGAGGAATTACGCCGCGTTCGAATCATTGGCCTGACGTTTACTATAATCGGTACGTTGCCTAAAATTGGAGGATGAGTCAGCCTCCATCGGCTGTGGGGCCTGCGCTTGATTGTCTTTGTTAACCTCCTCCTGGGCGTTGCCCTTTTGGCGCTTAACAAAGTGCGGGTTCCTATCTTGGTTATGCTCTTCCTTGGTATACCTGCCTGGCTTATTCTGGGAACGACCCTTGCTGTTTTCAGCCCCTTGAGCCCGCTCCTCGCGTATGAATTCGCGAACATGCTCCTCTCAATACTTGACTCCGCCTCTCTGGCCAGAGCTAAAGCAGAAGGTAGGTCTTTGGGCTGTGCAGGGAAAACCACAGCTCTGAGCGAAATGAGACCCGAAATGAAGGCATGCAGGGCGTCAGCTCTTACTTCTGCGTTGAGCAAATCGGCGCCCTCCTGCTCGTGTGACATAACAATTTTATTGGTCACCAGTGTCAGTTTCCTTTCGACTTCGTCGTAATGATGCATGAGGGGCATACCGCCCTGTCTGACCATTTCTAGGCCTTGCCTGAGCAAGCGCAACGATGTTTTATCGGAGTATGTACAATCCAGTCTGGCCAAAATGGCATCAAAATTTAGCACAGTATTGTATGACACAAGGAGGGCTCCAGCTGCGCCCCTAATTTTGTTTCTCAAGATAGCAACAGCCTGGTAATGTGTAGCGCTGCCGTTGTAGGGTTTGAACAGGGCGTACAGATAGGGCCGATTGCCTCCATTCTACGTAGTCATTTTGAGAGCCAGTGAAATCTGGCACAGACTTGATTACGTCAAGTGGAATATCACACCTGACATCAGGCCTAACGGATACTTTCTCATAAATGGTGATCTGAGGTGCTTCCACCTGCAAACTCTGCACTTAAGTAACTAACGCATTTATCTGGGACTGTAACTGAGATTGCTGCTGTGCCAATGCCTGTCTGACGGCATTGTCAATGGGTGCTTGGATCTGTGTGGGGTCCGTGGTGTTATCTACCAGGGTACTTGTTAATGGTTGATCTATTCCCTGACCAACTTGTTCCGATTCCCAACTATCCTCGCTATCGTATTCACGTTTCACGTCCCTATAAGCACCTGCTCAACTCATTGGCTGTTGGTTGGCACTACACAAGTATTCTTCGCCGAACACAAAATTTTTTTTTTTTTTTTTTTATTTCTATTAAGTGTAGAACCTGTACAATCATAATTTAGTACCTTAACAACACATGGATGGCAAATGTAATTAAAAACCGAACCCCATACCGCTGTATGAAGATTTTAGATTCAGGTAGTCTTACTGTCGTCCAATCGTGTTGGCAAAACCTTGCCGTTTAAGTCGCCTTGAAGGTCGGGCAGGGAGTAGTCCTCTTGCGAGCAGGGAGCGGTGTCTCAGCAATCTTTCGCTGCATCTGCTTGTGAACCTTCCAATCTGTTCCTCGACTGTATGCAGTTTGAGATCTTTATGGAGCGTGGAACCGCGTACGTACCAGGGACAGTTCGTTATCTGACGTAGTACCCGATTCTGCAATACCTGTATACGTTTATAATTGGATTTGGTGCAATCCCCCAAATCTGCACTACATAAAGCCATATTGGCAAAATACAGTGCACGTATACAGCTCTTTTGCATCTAAGCGGCAAGGTGCTTCTTTTATTGTTGAGCCACCGCAGTTGTTGCAATCTGTGACGACATTTTTTTACCGTAGCTTTGAGGTGTGTTCCAAAGGTAAGGCGCTTGTCCAATGTGATGCCGAGATACTTGGCTTGTGACGGCTGCTCCAGGGTAACTCCCTCTAGCTGGATTGGAGGGGTATGCATCAGCCTTTTGAGAGTGAAACATGGGTTTATTGTTTTGAGCGGGTTAACCTTCAAATTCCATCGTTTGCACCAAGCTGCGAGATTATCAAGATATCCCTGTAGTCCATTTCTTGCTTCTACGCGACTTTTGGGATTATAAATGACTGCGATGTCATCAGCATATGTCGCAATAATAGCCTTAGAGGGAGCTTCCATATGTTGAGAGGTGGGGCTGGGTATATCTGAAGTATACAAGGAGAAGAGCAGCGGACCAAGAACACTGCCCTGCGGCACTCCTGCTCGCACAGTATAAGTGGACGAGTATGTGTCCCTTACCTTGACCTTGAACTCTCGTCCTTCCAGATATGACCTTAAAAGACCATAGTACGGTGCAGGTAAAAGGTTTTTTATTTTGCACAGTAATCCATCGTGCCACACCTTGTCGAACGCTTGTTGCATGTCAATGAAGACAGCGTTGGAGAACTCTAGGTCGTCAAAAGCCTGCATGATGTGTTTCACCAATCTATGGACCTGTTCCACAGTGCCGTGTCCCTCTCGAAAGCCGAATCGATGATCCGGCAAGATATTGCATTGCCTTATTATGGCAGTAATCCGATTGGCAATAGTCCTCTCCCATAATTTAGACAGGGAGGGTAAGAGACTTATTGGCCGATACGACTCAGGATCAACTTCTGGTTTCCCTGGCTTGTGAATCATCAGAATCGCTGCTAATTTCCATTGCTTTGGAAACACTTGGAGCCTGATAATAGCATTAAAAATTAATACAATATAGAGGAGCGCTCTTGTAGGCAGGGCTTTCAACGTAGCATTACAAGTCCTATCGATACCCGGAGTCTTATATTTCGGCAATAGCTGGATCGCTTCAGTTATTTCTTCAATCCTTATAGGATCAATAGGCAGGGACATCTGCAATGGGGTCTGGAGATTCTGTTGGGTCTCCCTAGTCTGCTCTATCGTAGCAAAGTCGTAAGGAGTGAAACGAGCCTCTAGATGGTATCCGAAAGCATTAGCCTGTTCCCTTTCGTTTTTAGCAAGTTCGCCACCAGGACATCGGACAGGAACCTGTCTAAAGGGTTGTCGTTTAAGCGATTTTGTGCATTTCCATAGAGAGTAGTTCGCATCGACGGTGTAGTCCATGGAAGCCAGTTTTTGCTCGAAGAAATCACTTCTGAGTTCCCTTAAGAGGAGACGTAGCTGTTTTGCTGCTCGATTCCATAAAATTCGGTCCCAAGGATCTTGAGATCGAATTGCCCATCTTCTCAGGCGCCTCATTGTTCTAATTTGATCTTTAGCTTCCCTCGTGAGAACAATGCCATAACTAATGGGGCGTGACTCGGGACTGGGTGGGGTTGTGGCAGTAGCAGCTCTATGTATATTTTCTGTTAGAAAATCTACGGTTGGTGATTAACCGAGGGGTTGGCCTGACATTGGAACCATCTGTTTGCAAATGTACAACAAGGGCTATATGGTCAGAGTCCAAGTCCCAGCTTTGGCAGATATTTGCTTGAGAATCCAGTATACCATGGTATAATGCGAAATCAATGCAAGTAGGTGTGTGTCTGGACACATATGGATATCTAGTTGGTGATCCTGTTGCAAGAATTTTAGCTCCTCTGGCTGTAATGGCTTCGGCTAGTTCCCGGCCCCTGGGTGAATTGTAGGTATCTCCCCACAGCCAATGTCGCGCATTCCAGTCTCCACCAATCAGATACCTTTGGCCGCAAGAAGCGAGTATGTCACTGAAGTGCCTCTCTTCGATTCTATTCCTTGGTGGACAGTATATGGCACTATATACCATGTCTCCCAATTCTGTGGCAACTTTTATTGAAGACATTTGTATGGTTCGCGTTTCAATGACCCTTTGTGGAAAATGGCGGAGAGAACTCCTCACGAATACCGCCGCTCCTCCGCCGCCGTGATTGTTACTTGCTGGCTTGTAAGCTGGATAGAAGGTATACCCGAATATGTTGACTGTTTCCCCTCGGTTTAGTCTGATCTCATTTAAGAGGAGAATATCGACGTTGTTGTTGTGCACGAAGAGCTCAACTTCTCTGGCTTTTCCTGCAATGCCATTGACATTCCAGATAAGGATCTTGAGTGAATTCATTGTGACGCTGAGGCGTTTATATAGAGCTGGCGAGTCGATGTATCCCCAGTCCATTGCTTTATCATGTTGGCCATTTCATGAACCGATTTCTCGAGCCGTTCTAGTCGTTGACTGTTTTGCTTGTTTTGTTGTTGTTGTTCCCGTTCCTGCTCCAGAAGCCATAAGAGGAATTGCTGCTGCTGCTGTATTTGCAGCTGTTGTTGCCCTTTCAAAAATTGCTGTTGCTGTTGTTCCAATAGTGACTGAACGTCAACTGGATGCTGCTGCTGCATAATATTTTCTTTTGGTAGTTGCGCTTGAAGATCATGTAGACGGCGCTGGGCAGGTTGGTTGCCGTTTCTTGCTATTGAGGCATAGGACTTGCCTCCATTATTGACGCTAGAATTGTTAGGGATTTGTTGTGTTTGTTGCTGTCGAGTTGGTTGTTGCTGCTGCTGTTTTCGTTGTGGTTGTATCTACTTTGCTTGATTTTTATCCCTGCTGATCTGTCTGGACGGCAACGTGGAAGACTGTTGCTTCATTGCAGAGCCCATCGATCGTCTAAGATACTCCTGGTACCACTGGCATCCTTAATAGCTTGCCATATGATTCCCATTACAGTGGATACAGGTAGGCTGTTCATCTTGGGAACGTGCGCATAGCTTGGTGAGATGATCTTCACCACATCGTGCACAATTGGGATGACGACGGCAGTATTTGGCTGTGTGACCGTATTCCTGGCATCGTGTGCATTGTGCGATTTCAGATGTTTTGCGCATCCTTTCTATACTCACCTTTTGTCGGCAAAGTGTTTTGATATCATATATTTCATTAATTTTAGCGCATGGCCTAATATTAATGAAGAATATATTGAGCTTTTCGTCTTTGTTAATCCTTGATCTTGGGTTATGTACCTGCAGAGCATCAAATCCATTTCTTTTAAAATTGGAAATAATTTCGTGGCTTAAAGTGCTATGGTGAAGCCCCCTAACTACAATTCTGTAGGGTTTCTCTTCCTTCAATTGGTATGTATGAAACTCAATACCAATACCATTAAAATGCTTAACAATAGCTCTGTAAGTGTCACTGTCTTTGGGAAATATTCTGGCTGTTTCTCCTTGGCTGACTTTGACTGCCACTTTATCTAGGCTAGTGACCTCCATAATGAGTTCAAAGAGATCATTAAGGTCAGCAATACTCACAACTATTTGCGGTGGCTTTGGGGTATTGTTAAGATGATTGTTCGTATTGGATACGTTGTGTTGTGAGTTGTTGGCTGTGTCACTTGCATCAGTACTATCATTAGTAATATTCTGATGAGCAGCCTCAGAAGCTTTAGTAGGACCTTCATTTGTAACTCTAGAACTTTCGTCAACATGGCTTCCACTGGTAACTTCCATGTCCATATCCATGTCTAGCAAGGCAAACCTGTTGCTAGAGTTTGCCATGCTAGTTGATGCTGAGGGTGCGACCAGCTTCAAATCTTTGTTCGGCCTGGTAACGGTTGTATTGGGAGATAAAGATTTCTTCCTCTTATTTTTCATTTTTTTTTGGTCTTTCACCAATTTTGTAGCAGCTCCACTGAGTGTAGGAGCGGCAATGTCTGAGGAGTGTTGGGTGCCACAAGTTCCTTGGTTATCCATGCTTCCGCCAGGGCTCGTACTGCTGATTGCAGCAGTTGCCGCAGTTGCCGTGGTGTATGTAGGATTACTAGTAGCACTAGTAAATGTTAGTGTTGTGGTTACTGTGCTGATGTTCTGAGTATCAGTACATAAAAGGCGGTTAAAAAGCTCTGTCCTGATCTCCAATGGTGATTTCCCAGCTACTTGGCGCATTAATCCATAATCAATCTGCTTATTACTAAGCTGAGAGTTAGATAAAATTAATTTGATTTGTGTTACTTAGCTGATAAGCGCGGCGTATATTGCCCCTCTTGTGTGGCTGCGCGCAGAGAGAGGGGTAATGTTCTGCCCAAACGGGCAGCGAGTGCAGTCTTGTCGCACAACACGTGTGTTTTGTTGTCAAACTGCCGACACTGCACGTGGCAGCGTCCGAAATTTACGGTTTGTGCTATTTTAGCACACTTATGTAGATTCCACAATATATCAACACTTGCTTTGTCTATGCACGACTCAACCGTTCTCGATGTATCTATATTTATTAAAAACTTAAATGACCTAAATGATATATTTATATATTATATTTTAATTATTTTGTTTACTGTGGGTACCGATCAAGGGTTTGTCTTGAGACAGAGATATTTTCATCAATGGGTGCGTAAATTTGGGCGACGGTGGGCTTGCGGTCGCGTAAGGCACAAATGTCTGAACAGGCAATGAAAACAGGTGAACCGCACTTGTCGCTCGAGAAGAAGAAGAAGAAGAATCAAGAATTACCCTTGCAGAGATACGACATAGTTTTTTTTTTTTAATTTTAAGCAAAATTGGACCCCACAGTAAACAAAAAAATTAAAATATAATATATAAATATATCATTTAGGTCATTTAAGTTTTTAATAAATATAAATATATCAGATTCTTCTCATTATGCCTGACTGGACGAAGAAATACATGATAGAGCATTTGAATGTGTGTGCCACAGTCACAAAGGACACACAATTGAAGAAAAAATCTCTGGCTCTCGACAAACGCCGCGATCTACTTCTGCGCACATCCACACAACACAAACATATGTATGTTTGTAGATCTCGGGGTTTTTGAGAAGCTATGCAGAGAGAAAGAGATGCACACAAGCGCGCAAAGCAATGAGAGGGAGCGAGGCAAACTCTGCACATGCATACACACATATGAATTTGGGCTGTAAGGATTTAAAACTAACATACATATATTAAGAAATAGCATCAGCCGCAGCGACGTTGTGCGCTGAGCGAGATGCGGCTACATATTAAACGTTCGGCTTTCGAGGCCGGCGTTCGGCTGCCACTCTCAGCAGTCTTACTTTGTCTGGGCACACTAAAATGGTCGCGGACACCCATGGGGCTCAGTCGTTGACGATTTATCGGTATCCGATTATTCCGCTGTTTGACATGTCTATGCATTGTATAGTTAGTGATTTTAGCTTATGCAAGTAATCGGCTTCATTATTTTCAACAAATCTTTAGATATAGCCCTATTAACACCAAATACATCATATACAGGAAACTATACTCAGAATTTTTTTTCAAAATAATATCAGGCTAAATTATAATAATAAAAGCAAACACACTAAATCATACAGTCCTCGCTGAAAACAAGGATCCTCGCTCGAGTTTTGGATGTAGTTTTCGGCTATGGAAAGCCATAGTAATAATTATAATAATAATAAAAAGAGTAATAATAATAATAATATCAATAGTGATAATGCTGATGATAATAATTTCCCTCGGGGTTTGCTTACAGGACTGACTTTATTTCTAGCTTTTTATAGATCAGCCTGATTCATAAAATGTACCTCCTTAAAATGAAGCATTTATATTTCTCGATTGTGTTCAGCAATAACACATAGTATATTCAGCCCAGTTTGATACATGGGCAAAAAATAGACTCTATTTATTTAATGCAGACATGCAAATTAAATGTTATCACGATAAATTAATCAATTAATATACAAATGTAAGTATATTATTAACACACTCCGTCAATCGGGTTACCACACCAATTAGTGAACAATATACAAAAATCAATTTAATTCAATGAAATAAATAATTAAAGCGACATATAGCACATGAATATGATGTGTTGACGACCACAATTCAACACCTACACACACACACAGCCCTGTGGAAGGGGCCTATAGAATACTACCACAGCTAGTGATTGTTTGTCGTATGAGGCGATTGAAATGACACGCGGATGTAAGATTCTGAATACCATTAACCTGGCAATGCCCAGATCGATTCCGTTCCTGCGTAGTTAAAGTAACTCGTGACTTCCGGTAGAGGCCAGGTATCCCCTGGATAGGCACTGCACACCCGTGACGCACCTAGCTAATACGAGAAGGCTACTGACTCTGAGACCAGTAATGTCTTAGGTTGCGAACACTGGACAACCCCATATGATTAGACGACCCCTGGACTGACGGCCGACAGCATTCCAGCATCTCAGTAAGCTGAGTGAAATCTGTCGGAAATGACTGCTATGCTAATGCTGTTACCGCCCCGTCCCGTTAAAACGTGGCAAATCAAAGCACGCTCCTCAACTCGTCGCCATTTAGATGGCAGTATAGGTTCAGATGTTATATTCCAGATTAACGCGGATCTGGCTCTGAACACTCCACCCCATGAAGCCGGGTGTCAACTCTCGCATGGCCTCACTGCTTGCACTGACAACCATGAGATCGTACGGATCATACACCGAGCCCAAAAGAAGATGGAAACAAGTGGAAGGAGGTCACCCACAAAAAAAAAAACACCCTGAAGAAAAGCAAGTGATTGCTTAAGGAAAAGACGCGACCGGATGCTATAGTCATCTCGGCAAAAGGCAAAGCGACCTATTCGGAGATACTTCGAACAGTTAAAGCGGACGAGAAGCTGGAAAAAGCCCCAGAGAATATTAACCTCCGAAAGGCGTACGACCAAACACAAAAGTGTCTAGGAGCGCTTTGGCGAATAGAAAATGAAGCTATCACAGCTGAACCTCAACCATTGCGAGGCTGCTCAGGCCCTGCTGACGCAATCAATACAATAGAGACAGACTGACGTCGCAATAATCTGCTAGCCTTACAGCCTATCGCTGGGCGAGTAAATGCGGAAAAGCGGCAATCTGGTCCCTCTAATCACCGCTCCAGGAAGTCAGAGCAGCCCACGACGGATTCGTAAGAGCGAAAGCTAATGGAATCACTGTTTACAAATGCTACGCACCGCCAAGCTGGGAGCTGAGGCGATTCCAAAACATGCTGGAGGAAATATCAGAAATATCACCCTGCTTAGCAATTCACTTTATAGACGAACTTCATGGAAAGTCAACGATGAGTTCACATTCCGCGACCACCAAGCAGTACATTTCGAGATCCAAGGGAGTGGAGACAACAGCAGCCCAAAACAACAGGCCCCAAATGGAATGACAACTACCTAGACGAGGAAAACTATACGGATTCTCTACGCCATGCTCAATGGACAGCGACCACGGAGTCAGTTTTGGAAACTATTTTGGATGCGTGCGACTTATCCATACCCAGGAGGAAGCCAATTCGGAGCACCTTGCTACTGGTGGAACGAAGAAATCAGAGAACTAAGGAAGGCTTGCCTACGTGCGAAAAGGCGCTGTCAACGAGCCCGAGGCCGCCTAGACTTCACATCCAGGCAGGAAGACCTGCGGGCAGCCAAGCGAGACCTCAAGAGAAGCGTTAACAAAGCAAATCAATATGCTTCTAGCGAATATGCATACAAGATCCTCACGAAAAAAATTCGCAGCCAGTCGAGGCACTGTTCCCTGGACACCCACGGCTGAAGGTCGTCAACTGCTCACGCAGCACGGAGTTAGTACAGGTGTCGGCAGACGAAGTGGTAGTGGCAAGAAAATAGGCGACAAAAAGGCCCCTGGACCAGGTGGTGTGCCAAAAACGGCGCTAAAGCTAGCCATGCAGACGCAACCTGACACCTTCGCCGAGGCATACACTAGATGCCTAAAGGACGGTGTATTTCCTAAGCGATGGAAACGACAAAAATTAATACTTCTACTGAACGGGGACAACCCAATCGAGGAACCTTTGGGATACAGCCAATCTGTCTACTGGACTTCACAAGGCAAGGCAGCCATAAGAAACTTGGCCAGCTGGATGCGTGGTGCTAGCCTGTAGCTGGCACGCAAAAAAACAAAGGCTGTGCTTACCACAAGCCGCAAAAAAATTGAGTTTGCTAGATTTAAGGTAGACAGCGTTAGTATCGAGTCGAAGGCTTCCATCAAGTATCTGGGGGTCATGTTAGACAACAGGCTTAGTTTTCGACAATACGTAGATTACGTTAGCCAGAAAGCACCCAAAATCCAGGCGGCCCTTCCGCGGATACTATCTAAAATAGGGGGCCTACGGCAGGTAGACATTGGCTCCTCGAGAGAGTTGTAGCCTCCGTTCTACTGTATGCAGCAGCACCAATATGGGCATTAGCGGATGTAAGCCAAAAGGCCTCCGAAGGAAGCTGGCAATCCTTTACAGGCTCACTCCACGGCTCAACAGCCGAGTCGATATAGCCATGTCCCTCTGTCTGTTTCTATGCGAACTAGTCACTCAGTTTTAAAGCTAACTTTATGAAACTTTGCAGAAGTCCCTCTTTCTGTTACACGCAGTACATATGTCAAAACCAGCTGGATCGGACCACTATATCATATAGCTGACATAGGAACGATCGGTCGAAAATTAAGTTGTTTTATGGAAAATGTGTTTGTTTTTTCACGATATATTGACCAAACTCGGTATTTATTTGTTTTTCTATGCTCCACATATATATGCAAAATCATATTAAGATCGGACCACTATATCATCTAGCTGCCTTAGGAACAATCGGTCGAAAATTAAGTTGTTGCATGGAAAATTCGTTTGTTTTTCACGATATCTTGACCAAACTCGGTATTTATTTGTTTTACTATGCTCCACATATATATGCAAAATCCTATTAAGATCGGACAACTATATCATATAGCTGCCATAG